ATCAAAAGCATTCATCTAATAATACAGATATTGAGCAGGAAGTTATCAGATGTACAGAGAAAATAGCCAAATTACTTAGACCTGAACAAGATACAAATATGTATAGTGTGCTTTCCGTTGAAAATAGGATACTAAAGAAATAATTAAAAGATTATCATTCCCAACCTAACACTTTAGAAAGGAGGGTAAAAGATTGGAGAAAGATATGAGATTCTTAAAAGACGAATTAAAAGTTCTAGATGAATGTGTGAATAGGGAAACTGTGATCGACTTAATACAAGAAATAGCTTTCTCGCCAAAGATCAAAAAATGTAAGGGTTCCTACTATTCATCTGGGTCTTCTGAAGATTCTGATTCAGTTGAGATAATTCAGGTAAGAGATAAAAAGACTGTTTCTCATAAGCACCAAAGAAAAGTACGACGAAGAAAGGTTAAATGGTTTGTAGTTTGAAGTGATAAATTAGCTAATCAGACTGAGTGATGATATACACTATTATTCAAAACTATTATTAGACAATAATTTTACAATCCTATTTGAAGAAGTAAATTACATTTTGATATTATCTGATAGTCAGATCCGAGCTATGACTGATTTTCCAACCAATAGTCTGGAGTAATGATCACAAACTTAGAGATTTTTTTTTAATTAAAATATGATATTTTATCCTTAATCATAACAATGGGAAGATTTTGAGATATGTCTGTAAGAGATACTATTAATTGGGTAGATTAGTCATCCCTCTAAGCTCTCCAGTTTTAGAACCTAATAAGAGCAAAGAAATTCTACTGCCAGTCCAGCAAGACCAATCAGTAAAAGTATATTCTGATGCAATAAAACAATATACTTCAGAAATAGGTACAGGCTTGCAAAGTGAAGAGCTTAAAAAGGTTTTCTTTGATGGTTTATCACTCAGCAATAAAAAGGACACAATCAGATTTGGAACTAAGAGACCTTTGGATGAATTGGTTGAATACTTAGATAACAGTTTCTATTCTTTATGAGGACACCTATGGGAATTGGAACAGAGCGATGATTCAGTAGAAGATTTTTATAAGAAATACAAGGAATATATAAAGCTTTCTAGATGGAATGAAAGTCAGAATAAAAATCAATTTATTCATAGACTCTCATCTGCAAATCAGTTCGAAGTAAGATTATGTGGATTAGATCTTCCTTTAGATAAACTAGTAGATAGACTGGTTAAACTTGAAGTATTAAAAAGTCATACTAACTAATTTATTTTATTTTTTAATTTGAAAATACAACATATAATACAGACTATTTATGGCGCAATCAAGAATTTTTATTATACCAGAACTATTAGAACAGATTTTACATTTTTTAGCGATAGATAAATCTCTCTATCCCACTCTATATGTTTCCGATTATGGTACAGATGCAGTGTTTCTATCCTATAAAAGCGTATTGAGCTAAAGGAAAAAGACTTATATCTTGGGTAATCTCTTCCAAATGATTATAATTACTATGCAAAGGATCATCCTTGATTTAATAAATTCATAAGGATAGAACGTACAAAGGATCTCTTACGATTGAAAAAATTCATAAAGCTAGTACGTAAAAAGCAAATTCCAGTTTATTGCTCAAGTATAACTCATCTCAAAATATCATACTACCATTCACTTTCAGATAAAAAATCATAAGCATTGTACATTCATGATCAAATATAACCCATTTGAGTTTCATAAATTGCATAAGATTTAGTAATAGAGTATTAGAACTGATAGCGGGTTCATACCCGAATCTGAAGTATCTCAATCTATACGATGATCAATCAGGTGGCTTTAGAGGCTTTTGTGCTCGAGAAGTGAATGATAAAGGTCTAACTGCAATCACAGATTCATGTCATAAATTAGAATGTCTAAATATTTCTAATCACACAGAGTTTTCTGAAATATTAATTTGTAATGTTATTCATTCTTGTCTAAAACTCTAACGACTTGATCTTAGCTATTGTAAAATTACTAATATAACTAAGGTTGCTTGTTTAAACTCATTTTGAATTTGGCAAAACGATTAAACCTTTAGTTTCGCTAAATTTTTACTAAGTGTTTGATATAGTTTCGCCATTTTTATAAGCTTTGATATAGTTTTACCTTTTTCCAAATTTTGCAGATTTTTAATAAGGTTTTAATATAATTTAACCAAGTTTTACTTTTACATTTAGACGACTGTCTAAATTCTTGATTTCGTTTAGCAACCTTAGATATAACTATCGAAGAAATTGCTAAATCAAGTCTTAATTTAAAATATTTAAATCTGAAAGGGTGTTTTAAAATTAGCAAAGAAGTCATGGATCAGCTAAATCCACATATTTATATCAAGAATTACCAGGATCCGAATAATATTCGAGTTGAAATAAAGCGAGTGGTAGAGCTAATATCAACACAGCCTTCAGTTGCTATTAGCATTCAGTTTCACCAGACATTCTGACAACCTAATTCCAAAATATTTATGACAGTTGACTCTGGTGCTGATCACCATATTATAGCTATAAATAGATAAGCACCAAGGAATTATTTTGATAGAATACTAGCTGATCGAGCCAGAATAGTAGAACTCTACTGATCTAATTAATCTGGAGTAGTAATCATTAGCTTGGAAGATTTTTTCGCATCTAGATATGTCCTGTGTAAGAAAAAATATAAATTAGCTAACCTGTTCTAAACATTGGCACTGGGTGACACTAGATGGATTTTTGACGAATATTTCATGTAATTATTAAGGAGAGACCTTTGGGGATAATGGTAGCCCCTCTCCAGTAAAATAAAACATTTTTACTCCTCTATTGATAAATTTTTGTATTAATACACTTGGAACATCTTCTAAGTGGCCATGATATTCCTCAAACTTTCAAAGATATTCTTTTGCAGTTTTATCAGCCTCTTCTGCTATTTCTTGATTAGTGTAATCAACAATATTAAGTTCTTCTTGAATTGCTATTATATTCTCTTCTTAATACATAAGCAAATTAAATATCTCCTTTAATGAAATATCTGTGGAAGCCTTATTACTTCGATATTCCACTTCTAGAATAGGATTACTATCAATATTGAGATTCTTCTGTATTAGCATTAAATCCCCTACCAATTCTAACAACAACTCATATGAATCAGCAAGTATTTTCCCCATAAGCTCAGAATCTGAAGGCACTATTAATTTATTTGCATTGCCATTGATACTGAGTTTTTTCTGAATAGCTACTATATCCTTCTTTTTTTATAAAAGCACTTTATAAAACTAAGCAAGCGTTTCGCTATTATGTGATTTATTCTTCCATAACTTCGAATTCTTCTCATCATTTTCACTTTAAATAGCTGCAGAGATATTCTAAATAACTGTATCTTCCTATGTAATAGAACGATTTTTCAAAAAAATTAATAATAGCACCTTGAAATTAATAAAATTGACTTTGAACTGCTTTTTTATATAGAAAAAAAAAATTATTTTCCTTATTGTTTAAAAATAGTTCTATTACATGTCATATTTCTTAAAGTATTTATTTTATGTATAGCATTTACAGTACTTTATTATTAATAACATACAAGGTTTATATAAGACATGGCTCCTATTTCAAAACACTCCCGCCATTTATTGGTAAAGAAAAATGATACAAAAAGGAGAATTAATATAAAATACTTTGAATTTAATAACAAAACTGAATACTATGGAATTAAATACTAGAAATGATAAGTTACAACAAATTTAATTTTTCTTTCCGGTCTTATTACAACTGTATTACCCTAAAGGTCATTTCTTCAATCCTTCAAAATAAGGTGTATATGTCACAGAGTTTCTATAAAAACAATTTTCAATTAATTCATTACAAAAAACAAATAGCAAGATGGAAGCAAAAGTTAAACAACTTCAACGACAAAATAATTATCTAACTTATTGCACATAATCACTCAGTTATGATAAGTTTTTTTAAATTATTACATTAAAGAAAAGATAACGCTTTTTTTCAATGAGTTAATTGCTACAATGGTCAAATATCTCTTGTAAACTGTTGCAATATATCGATATTATTTATAAATCAATAATTAAAAGTTTTTGGTGTATTTTTTTGGGTTGCATTCAACTTACCGACAATCATTTTACTGACAATAATTTAACTGACAATCATTTGGCCGACAGGTATATTTTACCGACACTTAGATTACTGACGATCATTTTACTGACAAATACATTTTACTGACAATCAAATTACCGACTTATTATTTTTTTTTCTAATGGAAAATTCATATGAAAATTGCCAATTAAGAAAATTCAAATTCACATACACTATTTGATAATCAGATGATAATTATAATATGAAATACTATTTATGATAAAATACAATGCAAAATATTACTTAATATAGAAAAGTTTTTATTTAATGTATTTGAAATATTACATTCTAATTAAAGTTAAAATTATTTTATGTATTATTATATACACAATCAATAAATAATTTTTTTCTTATCTTTTTCTTCAAAGTTTTCTAATGAATAATATTATTTGCAAACCTGTTTTTTCTACTCATAATAAAGTTAAACTTAATATTCATGGCTATCTTATGGTTAAAGATAAAAATAGAGGAAATTTATATTATTAGTATTGTGAAAAATGAAACTTATTAAAATGCTATGGAAAAGCTACTACTAAATTGATTGAAGATCAGATCATAACCATACTGCTGATGCCAGTCGTGTTAATGTAATAAAAACTATTAATATATTAAAAGAAAGGTCACAACAAACTAATGAACAACCTGCACAAGTTATTCAAACTATTGTTACAAGTAGTTCACATGAAATATATCCATACTTACCATCACGTGATGCATTTCGTCAAACAGTTAAACGAATTCGACATGTTAATATTCCTACAGAGCCAACATCTTTGGAAAATCTTACCATTCCTGAAAATATGCAAGTAACTTAAATGGATTGGAGTTTTTAGTTAGAGATTCAACCATAGGTGATGGAAGAGTATTAATGTTTACAACAGTTGCTAATATAATACATTTAGCATAATTACCATTCTGGATTATAGATGATACTTTTAAGTCAGTTCCAACAATTTTTAAACAACTATACACAATTCATAGACGTGTTGGTGGAGATGAAAATTCACAGATTATGCCACTGGTATTTGCATTAATGTCTCACAAATCTGAAATATACTATAGAATATTATTTCAGGATTTAATTGATTTTAGTGATGAGCATAATATTGATTTACAACCACAGTTTGTTTTAACAGATTTTGAACAAGCTGTAATTAATACTATCCATGCAGAATTTCAAGGAGTGCAAAATAAAGGTTGTTATTTTCATTTATCTCAAAATATATATCGCAAAGTACAGGCTTTTGGTCTCACTATTCAGTATGGAACTAATGAAAACTTTAGTTTATTAATTTGTCATATTTCAGCACTTGCATTTTTACCTTATAATGAAATTCCTACAGCTTTTAATGAATTGAAAACTAATATGCCAGTAGAAGCAAGCCAAATTTTAGATTGGTTTGACAATTATTATATTCATAGAAAAATTAGACGTACATTACAAAATGGAAATGTAATTTGGTTTGAACTATTATTTCCACCTTTACTTTGGTCTGTTACTGACAATATTGAATATTCATTTCCAAGAACTCAAAATAATGTGAAGGCTTGGCATAGAAGATGGGAAACATTAGTAGGTTGTGTTCATGTAGGTGTATTTAAAATTATAAAGGAACTACAAAATGAGTAAAAACAAGTGTAGCTTCATGTAGAATCCATTTTGCGAGGGGCACCATGATCATTACAAAGAAGACAAGATCGTAAACGTGAAGATCGTATACAAACAGTGTATAATAATCGCGAAAATAGAGAACTTATGGATTACCTTAGAGGGATTACTCACAATCTTTCATTTTAGATTTGTGATTTGTTAGAAGAATGATATTCGTTTGTTGCAAAATATAAAATTTTCTTTTACAAACTACTGAATAAAAAATATAAAATTTTTTGGTGAAATAACCATGTCGGTAAAATGATCGTCAGTAATTCAAGTGTTAGTAAAATGTACCTGTTAAATGATTATTAGTTAAATAATTTTCGGTTAATTAAATCAGACCCCATAATATTAAATTATTTGATAAATAGAAAATTATTAAGAATTTATATATATAAAGAATTTATTTATTTGACATTAATACACTAGTTATCAAGCAACAATATTTATTCACAAATAATTTACTATCTATTAAAATAATATAATGATATTTTAACAAATTTATTAATAAGATATTATCCAAAATAAATTAAAGATTAATTTTTAATATATTAATCATATAGGATTATTTTGTATAATTTTTTAAGAATGTTAAATTAATTATATATAATTTTATTTATTACAAATTTGACAAATTAAATAATTTTAGAATTAAATAAAAGATAATAATATCTAAGATTCATTTTTGTAATTTATGAAATTTATGATTTTTGTAATTTAAGTAACTAATATAACTAATATATATTAATAAAACAAATGCAATCAGTCTTGATCAAATTTTTTTATATTTTTTAAGAAAAAGTTATTTATAAACTAATAATACTAAATTTATATGATTCTAATTTTTAAATTGCATTCAAATACTTAATATAAAGCTGATTAAAAGTAATATTAAATATAATTTTTCAATTAATTATTTCTTAAAATTTTATTATAAGAAATAGGTATGTATTAAATAAATTAAATAAAGGATTTTCTATAATAATTTTATTAGGATAATATTAAATTCATATTTATCAAATTATATAAATTATTATATTTATCTATATCTACTTAAATTAAAAAAAATATTATAAATCATAAACAAAAAAATAAAATTAAATATAAATTTAAATTGACTTTATTATTTTATTTCAATAATTCAAGATAATAAATTTATATTAAAAAAAATATTTATAAGAAATTATTAAAATGTTTATAAAGTTTTTTTATAATAAATTTTTATAATAAAATCAAAAAATAAAATAACTATTTATTAATATTATAAAGTATTAAATAATTTTAAATAACTTTATATTAAATAGTATTCTTAATATATATAATCTAGATATTTATAATATAAAAAATAATATATCATATTTTAAAAAAAAATTTTTAATAAAATATTTAATCAAAATATTCAGATACTTTATAAAATATAATACAAATTTATAAATAAATATGTTTTAATAAGAGAAATTCAATAAATTCAATTATATTTTTTTATAATTATTAGATAATAAATATAATAAATTATTATAAAAGTTTAAAATATTTTAACTAAAATAATTATGTAATATTTTCTAAATTAAAAAAAAATTTAAAGAAAAATAATAAAAAAAGAAATTTTTTTTTTTAACTTTTTTATTCAATATAACTAATTATCTTTTTACTATTATAAAGAATTAATTTTAAATTTTGTCATTTTTTATCAAAATAATATTTATATTACAAGCTAAATTGTATTTTTTATAGAAAAATTTATTATATTATTATGACTATTAAGATATTTCTATTACTATTATTATTTTATCTAGAAAACCTAATAATTTATTTATAAATGTGAAGATTTCATAAATCTCTATAATAAATTTTATAATGTATTTTAACTAAAATTAAAAAAAGTTGTAGGTTTTTATGTAAAATTTTGCATAATAATTTAAATAAAAATCATTATAATTTAAATGATAATTAAAATATATTTATAAGTTTAGAATTTTATTCATAAAAAATTATTATAAATAGCAAACTTTTACTAATTATTTATATATATAGTATAAGTTCATGATGGTTAAAAAAGAATGAAAAAATCAATATTAACTGTCAAAAATTATATTAAATAACAAACCTTTTATTGGAAAAAAAGCAAAGTGCCTTTTGAAAAAAATGGTTGTCAAGCTAATCCAAATATTTTATATAATAAATATGATTTTACATATAAATTATTTGAAAAATAATTGAAAGTTTGAAAGCTAAAATTTGTTATCATAATATAATAATCAATATTAAAATTGTTTTTTTTATTGCATCATAAAAACCAACCTCTTTTTAATTTTCTATGAAATACAAAAAATCAAAAACCTTTATCTTTTAATAAAGATTTCATTAAGAATATTTAAGATAAAGAATTATTTTTTAAAGAAATTCTTAATATTTATAATATTTATTAGAAATTTAATTATATATTATCATTAGTATTTACTACTAGATGTGTTTTATATATTTATATTACATGTATTATTTATCATCCTATATCATACCTTTCTATTTTGATTTTTACTATATATTCTATAAACTTAGAATTTTTTCACTGTTAAAAATATTTGTCTCATTTTCCCAATCACATAAAATAATAAAAAACTTCAATTACTATTAGTTGATTTAATGATCACCATCAGTGATAAATAGCAAATTCCTATTATATGATTTTATTTAAAAAATCAATACAATATATTTTTATTTATTACTCATAAATGATGATATAGCATTAATAATTTTTCTTTAACATACATTTTGATTTTTTGGTATTTATTAAACAGATGATATATTAAATTTAAAGAATCACATTTAAAATCAAAAACTAGAAGAGTATATATATTATAAAATTACTTTTTATATTATATTAATTTTTTAGATACTAACTTTTATTTTATGTAATTCTTTTAAGTATTGTTAAAGTCAATAATATACAATTTTAGATGCCTGTAATACAAATAATAAATGTTTATTTGAAATTTTTTTTTGGATTTTTTTCTTTAATGTAAGAAGCCTTACAATAATTAATAACTAGTGATACCTGACTAAACTCTTTTTTGAAAAATTGTAATTTCGTCAAAAGTTTCGTCTCTTTAATATTTTTATATGAATAAATATAAAATTATTATATTTTTTAATGTATTTTAATTCAAGGAATTTAAATCAAGTTAAATATAATTTCGGCAATTAAATAAAATAATTTCGTCATTAATAAAAAACTTGTTTCGTCATTTCGGTTTCGTCGTCAATTTCGTCATATTAAGATAGGTAATTTCGTCAGGTATCACTATTAACAACTAATCAAATGCCATCAACAAAAAAAGAAAAAAATCAATATCAATATGAAAAAGAAATAAAAACTAATAAGTCAAATTCTCCTACTAATAAAAAAATTGGGCTAAATTATAACATTATAATAATAAGCCTTCCATTAAACTCTTATTAATAAAATCGTTTTATTAAAAAAAACGATATTTTGAATTTACATGAAACTTATTTGAATACGCATCCACCGTTGTTACCCAAGAAATTAAATTTACATTTATTTTTGTTGTTTAAACTATGTAATGTCCAAAAAACCTAACAACTAAAAAATTGTTCGATTATTGAAATGATTTCATAGTTAAGGAAACTAGTATTTCCAACCGCACCGCATTAAAATTAAAATATAATTAAACTATTTAAAATTGTTTTTTTTGATGAAAAATTTATATGGATTTATTCTTCCTTAAAAATTTCCAAAGTTAACATAACCATCTTTGCTTATTGACATTTTGGTAGGATCTTCCATCCAATCGCCACGACAGTAAATACAAGTAACCTAGACAAAAGACATGACTAAATAAAAAACCAGTACTAAAATTTAGTATATAAAAAGAGTATTACTTACTTTTGCTTTTTCACGTTGTTTTAATTTCTTCCATTGCCCGAAGCATTCTTTGTGAAGGTTGTTTCCACAACTTTTTTGGCACCACACGATTTGATTACGATCGATTTCTTCCAAAGGTTCGTAACTATTATTATTTAATTAAAGAACGGTTAAATAGCCTGCCCTGAAGAGTTAATCCTCAAAAAGCATAGTAATATACCAAATAGCGCAATCTCCTTCAATTGGCCGGCGTTTTTGAGAAAAATCTCCTGATATGAATTCTTTATATCGCTTACGAACTAAGTATCTAGCCTATTAAATAAAGTATTTAATCATAATTTAATAATTTTAAAAACATAAATCACACGTTTACTTACCAAGACAGTCGGATCTGGCGCAGCATTTGCAAATATTGAACGAAGTTCTTCAGATAAAAGCGCATTTTGGTAAATATGCGAACTGTCTCGATTTATGCGCAAAACTCTAAGATAAACAAAAATCTAATTTTGCATATGTTAAAGTATTAGTTAACATTTCAAAAGATACAACTCATTCATGCGTTTCAAAAATATATGTACAATATGTTTACAAAATTTGTGCTTTAAGAAGTCTGGGCAAGTGCAATTTGGCATATGTGAGATCATAATAGTATAAACCTGGCAATAAAAAAAAAATTTTTCAATAAAGGTTAATCGGTAAAAAATAAAATGATGCTTTAGTAAAAATTTCATAATGAAACATACATTGCCAGTTGGTCCTAATATAACAAATTCTTGGTGCAATTCATTAATTTTAGATCGACTAATCAGGTACATTCGTTCTGATTCAGCGCGACATATGCGTTGTTGTATAGACTGCAATTATATATAATAAAAAAAAAAAATTTAAAAATTAAAACTTATATTAATATATTAATTATTTAAATACTCACTTTTGGACAGACAGTTTTGAAACGAGATAGCCGTTTCTCTTTAGGTTTTTTAGGTGGTTTAGGTTTCTTATATATTCTTTTTTTTTTTTTTACAACTGCATCATTGTTTTCAATATCATTTTTTCTCTTTTTATTTTTAGAAGCTGCCTCTTTATTGTTGCTAACAGAAACTTCATTAGATTCTATCTGTACTACCAAATTTTGATTTCTGTGCCCAGGAATTTCTTGCAATATCCTGTCATTCCTTCTTTGCTCATTATCCGTTGCTTGATCTGCTGGGGTGTTATCTTCTACGACACTACTACGAACAGGTTCCAGACCTGTTGTTTCATTAATCGTTTCAGGTTCAGTTTCAGGCTGTTCTGTTGAGATTACGAGAGCTTCTGCGCTCAAGTCCTCAACTTCAGCAGGTTGCTCGCTTAGTACAATTACTTGTTCTGTCTGTTCAAGCGGTTCAATTCTTACTGAAGTATTTTTCGGTCTTCGTCCACGTCTAGAACGAGAAACAGTTGTTATTTGTTGGGTATTAGATAATGACCGAGAACTAGAGGACTCCGAAACGGTCTGTTCATTAATAGTAGAAGAGCGAAGTGCACGGGTAATAGAACGAGTAATGGGCCTATGCGAAGGAGCTCGTCCGCCTGTATTCATTCTGCTGCCGCGAAAAGTAAATAGTAGTTTTTTAATTGTAGGAAAAAGAAATGAGAGAAAAATCGCGTAAAGTTTATTTGAAAGTGAATTTTGTACGCGATTTCTAAATTTCTGATTGGTAAATCCGTTTAAGTTTTAATATACGTTTTACAGTATATAAGTATATAAAATATATATAAAAATTTTTTTTTTTGTAAATCGATCGCTATTTTATTACGTCAAATCTATTACATCCGAAAATAACACCTTGCCTTTATTATATAATTTAATTTTTTGGAACCCCGGTGTTTTCATAAATATAAACCACGCGATCATTATGTAATCGATGTCGGATTTAGCTATGAATAAATTCAAAAGTTGAATATTTCTCTCTGCAGCTGCAGATGATGTAAGAATTAAAATTTTTTTGATAGCTAATTGTTAAAGTTCACTATTTTTCCATGATTTCCACCAAACAGAAGAACTAAGAGTGGATGACATCCATATATTTCATTATCATATGATGAAGCTTTTTGGCGAAATTTTATAAGTTTAATAAACAATTTACGGATAAACCAAACACATAATAGCATTTTAGCTAAACATAATGTCTGTGCTATTAAAAATTTAAAAATTCTATTCTTCTTTCATACTATTAATAAAATTATTTAATTTAATTTATATTTGCTTTATAAAAAGATATATTAATATAAGTTGAAAGTTATTTTATGGATACAGTCACATTTCAATATAATATTATGATATAATTAAAGTTAATTTTATGATATCATTTATAGAATAATTTTTTTGAGATTAAAGTTAAAGTGATCTTAAAGCAATTTTGGTAATGTAAAAATTGAAATTAATCTCAGATAAAATAATTTATAATGATAAATATAAATTTATTTTTAAAAGTTATTATTATTTACTATAATTGAAGATAAAAAAAATGGCTTTATTTTAGTAAACAAAAAAAAAGTAAGAAAATTTATTAATAATAGTCTAAAATTCAATTAATAATATTATTTATTTATGAAAATTTCATTCCTAGAAAAAAAAGAAATTAAAAACCTTTCTAATAAAAATTAAAAAAATTTAAAAAATATTGAAAACGGTTTAATAATAATAAAGAAAAAAAAAATTAAACACTCTATTTCTTTTACCCCAACTTTTGGCTTACTATCAGCATATTACAAGCTCTTCTTTGATGATGTCTTATTACTAAAAAATGTAAAAATACTTAATATAAATCTAAAAATTCCTAAAATTTTTATTAAAAATTATCAATTAAACTATTTTTAATAATTATCCAGCCTATTCTAATGTCTATTTCAGAAGAAATTATAAAATTGTTTTCTATTATATGATCACCTTTTTCCTCTTCTCATACTATTATGCTAATCATAAAAATCCTAAAGAATACATATTAATTACTTATACTATTAAGTTATATTTATCAACATATTATTATTTATTTATTTACTTATCCTAATTAGATTTTTCAGAATAATTACAATTATAACATCAATTTATTTTTCTTATAATACTTTGCCAAAATCTCAATTTATTACTGTGAAAAATAATGATACTTATAGTTGTATTATCTTTTCTTTTCAACTAAGTAATTTGTCTTTATATCTTCTAAAGAATTCTTAATGTAACTATTTTTTATATTGATTTATAAAAAATTAAAAATTTGTGATGATTTGAATTAATAATAATTGAAAGTATGTTAAAATATTTAAACTGAAAATTAAATAATGATAAAATACTTTTCTTTAAAAATAAATTTCTTTATTATTGAATCAAAATTTTGATTTGATATCTCATGAAAAATCTCTTTATTATTAAATTAAAATTATAATTTGATATTTTGTAAAAAAATCTTTTTAATATTAAATCAAAATTCTAATTTGATATTTTATAAAAACTTAAATATACAATAAATTTATAATAAAATATTCAAATTCTTTGTATTTAAATCTGATTTAGATTTCAAAATAATTCAACTGTTATATTATTTATAAAATTAGATAAATACAAATATAACTAAAAATTTTAATATAGTAGATCATATAATTCGAGACAATAATAATTCATCATCTGGGTGATAAATATAAATTATTTAAAAAAACAATGTAATATTTGATAAAAAAACAATAGGAAATTTCAACATAAGTTTAATAAAAATTTATTACAAATTGGTTAAAAATTATAAAAAATAATGTAAATATTTTAACACAATTTCAACACTATCATAAAGTGTGTTATTTAGTTAATGTATTAAATTTGTATTCTTATAATATCATTTTATTATATTATTTATTATGTTTATTACATAAAAAAAAAGAAAAATACCAAATTTTTTATGTTAAAAAAAATTATTATTAACATTATTTGCATTAAAATTTTTTTTCTTAACATTATTATATTAAAAAAAACTACTATTATTATTCAAGTATAGTAACAAAGTTATTAAAATTAGTTTATTTTACTAAAATAAACTGTTATTTTAAAGCTTTTTTTAAGCTTTTTAATAAAATTTAATTCTATTTTATTCACATTAAAAACTTCTTTCTATTGTTCTAAATATAAATTACTTTATTATAAGCTTCAATAATTTCATTATGAGTAATTATCAATTATAGACTTTCTTCTCCTTCATTTTCTTATTAATTAAGTTTTGATAAAACTGCTTTTACAATTTCTTTGTCAAATATCATTTTTTTACTAATATCAGACTTATCATATCAAATAAATTCTTCAGCAGTTAAAGGGTTATCAAAAACAAGTTTGTCAATTAAAACTTGAACTTCTTTCAACTCCTTTAGACATTTAAGTTTAAGTTATATATTAGTGAAGTTTTATTATTATTATTATTATTATTATTATTTGCAGAATTTTTACTTTTAACTAAAGTTGCTTATCTAAACTTATTTTGAATTTGGATAAATGTCTAAACCTTTAATTTTGCTAAATTTTTACTAAGCTTTGATATAGTTTTACCTTTTTCTGAATTTTGCAAATTTTTTAATAAGATTTTAATAATTTAACCAAGTTTTACTTTTACCATTTAGATATTTGTCTAAACTCTAAATTTTGTCTAACAACCTTGCTTTAACTAATAATTTTGAATTTTCTCTTGCATTACAATAATTTTAAATTCTCTCTTGCATTAATTTTATTTAGCTATTTTTAGAAATAGCGTGTAATATATTTAACTGTAAAACTGAAACAGTTTACCAAAATGTTTCAAATCATTCTATTGTTATTAATTGTACTTTCAAAAACTTTTTGAACATTAAGAATAACAAACTTAATATTTTAAAAAAAGTTATTTACAACTATGACAAAATAGATAATGACCTTTAGACTTCTTACAAACAAAAAGTAGACTCATTGGTAAACGGTTGTGCTTAATGCCTGCTAAAATACATATTGATCCTTAGCTAAACTAAACTTAATTATTATTGGGATCTTTTACAATAATATCGATATATAATTAAAGTAGTTAATAATATTATTCTATCTTATGAGTCAATCAGTCATATAAACTAAGAAAGCTTCTATTACTATCCAAATGTATAAAAAAACTTCATTTTCTATATAAATTTAATAAAATGCTCAAAAATGCGATGAAAATTAACATCTTACTGATAAATTAGAAAGGATCTATCAACAAATTCTAGACTTTACATTATTTCTCTATTTTCTTTACCTCTTATTTCATTTTTTCATTTCTTAATTCCTTGTTCTGAGTTACTATATAATGGTATTCTTGTTAAATTAAAATTTCATAAATAAGAATTCAAACTTATTGAACTGAAAATAGATAATTTAATGCGTCAATAAAAATCATATGATTACTAGAAATTTAATTACTAATAAAAGTAATATACATGTTACGAATTTTTATGTGATAGTAACTATAGCTGATATAGAGGTAATTTGATAATATTAAAATCCATTTCACAAAAATGGATGCTTATAAAGAGGTGTGACTGTATAGGATGTGATTGTATAGGAATCAGACTGTAGTTAACTCTGAATCCTGTAGATGCATTATATTGCTTAAATTATTAAAGGAACTTGATATGAAAATAGACAAAGCCTCTAAAACAATCATGGTGAATATTAATGGAAAGATAACAACCTCTTGAAATAGTTACTAAAATACCTTTAAAAATAATTGGAGCAATCATCATATTTGATGCTTTAATAATCGAAACTGATTCCTATAATATCATCATAAGAAATGATTGGTTAGAAAAGACTGATGCAGAAATAAGTTATAGAAATAAAACTATGAAATTATATTAGAGAACTGAGATACTTACAGTTCCAATCAAATATTATGTGTCTTCAAAGGTTAGAATGGAAGTAGTAGAAAATAATGACAGTGAAGAAGAATATGAAACTGAAGAATATGAGTATAAAGAAAATGATAATGAAGAAAACAAGCAAAAAGAACTGTTCTATTTCTTAAAAGAAATCATTGAAGAAAAAATCAGACAAATAGAAGAACAAGTTAAAAAATCCTTTAAAGATAATCAAATAATAAGACAATCATTTTATCAATATAATAAAATTAAAAAGTTACTTTCATACAAGAAGCCTTACAGAAGAACAAGCAATAAAGTTTAAGAATTTTATGGAATAATATATTGATTTTTTTATCTGAAAATCTGACCAATATGAAAAAACAAATGTAATCACTCATAATATTAATACAAAGGACGTAATCCTAATTAAGCAAAAATTTTACAGAACTTCATATAATAATCAGAAGTTCATTAAAGAAAAAATTCAAAAATTACTAAAGTCAGGACTTATAAAATCTTCTAAGAGCCAATAGACTTTACCAGTGATTGTAATCGAAAAGAAAAATAGCAAAAAACATTTATGTGTAAATTATCGAAAGTTAAATAGTTTCACAAAAAAGGATAATTATTCTTTACTTTGAATTGATGATATACTGAAGGATCCTAATGGTTTATATCATTAGATCTTACTAGTAGTTT